CCCCCGCCCCAGTGCAAAAATTTTTGTGCACCGGGCCTCTAGTCTTATATAATACAAGACTCATATGCAAATCAACCGAACAACAGACCAACAGGTCGCTATGATGCATACTGACCACCAGGGAGCAGACGCACACAAGAGCTCACCCCTGGTGGTCAGTGTGCTCCCACAGAGGGAGCGCAGCTCAGCCAGAAGCCAGGCTAATGGCTGGCAAGCACAGCAGCAGTGCACCGGGCCTCTAGTCTTATATAATACAAGACTCATATGCAAATCAACCGAACAACAGACCAACAGGTCGCTATGATGCATACTGACCACCAGGGAGCAGACGCACACAAGAGCTCACCCCTGGTGGTCAGTGTGCTCCCACAGAGGGAGCGCAGCTCAGCCAGAAGCCAGGCTAATGGCTGGCAAGCACAGCAGCAGTGGTGGGAGTCTCTCCCGCCTCCGTGGCAGTGCTAAGGATGCCCGACTGCTGCAAACATCCCGAGGGCTCCCAGACCGCAAGAGGATACAGGCTGGGCTGAGGGAACCCCCTCTTACCCCCCTCCCACTCCCCGAGTACACGAATTTCATGCAGGGGGCCTCTAGTTCTTCTATAGTTTAAAAGTATATAACTGTCAAAAAGAATGAGTTTTAATTTTGCTTTTCCTTTCATCTCGCTAATGAGACTTTCAAATGCTGATAACTCTACCATCTCCATTGGTTTGCAAATATGAACATCTCGGCATTTAATGTGGAATTCTTCTTTAAGATCCTCTGTAGAAATGAGAACGTAATGAAGATATTGCTCTTTCCAGATGGCCACAGGAACAAAAATTGTTATGAGTATCTCATAGTTTTCCCTGCAGAACTCTCTAAACTGAGAATGTTTATGTCCTGTTCTCTGTGGGACCCTTTCAATCATAGAGATTTGTATACCTGTGTGTACCAAAGGCACTGCTATTAGTATAGATTAGCCAATCTTCTCAGGTTCCTTTCATTTAAAAGGCTATTGCTCCGAGTATTATATATAATCACATTAGTAAAATAACTACAGTGGGGCCTTGACTTACGAGTTTAATTTGTTCCATGATGGAGCTCGTAACTCAAATTACTCGTATGTCAAATCAAAAAGTGAATGAGTGAGGCACGTGATGCTGGGCTGATGTTGTGGCGTTCACTGTGACGTTCGCTGCGACAACTAGCGGTGGGGTATCTGAAGCTGGCTTGTAACCCGAATTTTAGCTCGCAACTCAAAGCAAAAAATCGGCCGAGAGATGGCTCGTATCTCGAAAAACTCGTTAGTCGGGACACTTGTAAGTCAAGGCCCACTGTATATATCAATGCACTACTTAAGGCATGTGGCTTATGGAAATCATGTGAAGAACATATCACAGAAAGGATCCTTGAAATGACCTAATACTACCCTCCCACTCCTGTCATAAAGATATACA